TTTATGTAAATGTCTGTGTGTCTGCACATATATACATGCGATATATGCATATGTATATTTGTATTTCTAATAAAAAGTACATGTATTGTACGTTAAATGCAAACCATGTCCAATGCAATTGTCTTTCTATAGTCAGTAGTTTTATAGAACAGTGGTAATATTTGTAGAATTACATTTTAAAATAAATAAAAGCATAAATATCCTTTACCATAATTATCCTTTGACTTTCGAAAGGCAACTTTATTAATCCATTATTATTTTTTTAAGTATGGAGAAATTTAGCTTTCTTCTCTATAATACAATAGACAACCTTATTCGAAAATGACAAAAACCAATCAGGATTATTTGGTGCCGATTATGGTTACTCTATTTGTCTTTAACTGAGTCAACAATATTGAATACAGCGAAAAGATTTATTTTATTTGTATGCTAGTGGCCCCCTGTCCGCGTTACAGGCCCTTGATTAGACATGTGGATTCTACACGTAAATATCTATATAGTCCTCAAATAATCGGTTTCGTGGTTTAATTGACTAAAAAATAAAACTTCGACGCCATCTGTCGGATAAATTTAAAACTTTACAGGAACACTTCTCACGATCCCTGTAATATATTGAAGAATTGTCCTATCAGGCGCCGTAGTTCCTGAGTTTATCGATTAACTACGAACAAACCAGAGAAGGTCATGATCAAGGAAACCAAGATATGCAAATGCATGTTTTTTATATGGTACATCTTATGGACTCATGGATAAGATATTTACACGCGTCAGCATAATTTAAGAATTTTGGAATTGCATATATTTGTTAGAGCATTTTTGTGCATAATATATTTATAAGAGCATAATTTTGCAAGATTTGATTCAAATAATATTTAAGGCATATTTCATTTCGAATGGTATTGAAATTTACAAAATTGAATCAATAATTTAAATCATTTAAAGAATTTAGTTTTATAATTTTCCCCAAAAAAAGTAAAAGTATTAAAATTAATAGAGAAAAAGTCACAAACATGATCAGTTCTTTAAAAACCACAGTATCGATTCAATACAATTCAATACGAAATGATTCTGTTGAGTGTGTTGTCTATCGGTAGTTTGGTGCACTGTAGTGTGGTGTTATTGACTAAAATTGCTATTTACATTGCATTTTTTTTCTAATGATTGACAGAATGACTGAATGGCTGTCTAAATGACAGTGGTGGCGGTGAGTTGCTGTTCAGTGTGTACGGCAAATGTTCACTATTAGATACGTTTTATTGTTACGTCTTTATACGTACGATGTGCATACATACATACATGTACATATGAATACTAGTAGCATAATATTGTCACAACGTTCTACGTGTATGTGGCAGATTGGCTGACTGGCCGTCGGTTGTTTTGTCAACCAATTATTTGACGTCGTTGTCATGCGAACCAGTTGAGAGGCAGCAACAACCTCATTCAACCTTATACTAACAGCTTTGTATGTTCAGTGTCACCATGTCTATTAGTTGATGTTGTTGTTAATGTTATTTGTATTTTTTTTTTTTTCTATTTTTTAACTATATATATTTATTTTAAGTAGATGGTTTAACAATTGTTATTTGAATTTTCTGTTTGCAAGTGAGTATGTGTGTGTTTTTCTTTGGATGACATACTAAACATATAATTTTTTGAGGCGGTTATTTCTTACCAATTGCATTTTCTCCCAGGGACACTAAGGAGTCGAAGCAACACCATTATCAGCTAAGACAACTATCTAATCATGGTATTTATATTTAAGCATCTTTTTATGTGTCTTTTGAATTGAATTTTGAAACACTTACATTTTTAGTTAGTCATTCATTCATTCATTCAGTCGATTACAACTTACTGATTTTAGGAATGACTCAATGTAGCATTGATTGTATTTACCATCATGTTCATTGTCTAGTCTTTTTTTATGAAATGCAATAATTTTCTGTTTTTGCTACTACAAACATAGTTTTTCTATTTTTTTACTTAATACTATTTGTTGAAATGAAAATGAAATTTTCTTTATAAAAAAATACCACCATCTTCATCATGCTCATGCATACATGCATGAATAGTTGTTGCAGTTTCCATCTTACCATCATTATGATCATACGAGTACAAGAAACCAGCCATACAACAGAAAGCACTTTCCCTCTCGTTGCTTTCCATTTTTGTAATATTATTGAATACTTCAAACTTCTGCTTTAATACTTAAGACGACAGCGTCTGACTACTGACAACGACCATTACTTGCTGCTGCTATTACAAACAAAAACAACAAAAACAAATTACAAACAACGAATAATGCTGTCATTGATGATTTTTTCCATTGGCATGGCTTTTTTTGCTACTATAAATCAGTGTTTTAAAGAATTCAAACTTGACGTTTGGTATTTTTTTCGACAAAATATAAAGATTTCTTCATGAAAACTTTTTGAGAATCGAATTCATTGGGTTATATATATGTATATAGGCAATTTCTTGTCAAATGACCCAACTCAAAAAATCGATTTTGATGATACATGCACCAAGGTTAGTACTATTGAATATTAGGCCAGAAACAAATTTTCATCTATCGGTCAAGAACTGCCGGACTTAGAGGGGGTCAAAGTTGGACATTTTGATCATACAGGTTTTTATTGAAATTAGTGTAACTATTCACCTATTGGTTCTAGCAACAATTATCCAAAGGAGCAAATTTCATCAAAATCAGAAGACATCGATTTTAAAAGTTGGGTCACTTGACACGAAATATGAAATATAAGTTTAGCGATCAAATTAAGTATGAACTAGTTTTGTGTATTCTTTGGGCCCTGTTATAAAGATAGAAATGCTTTGTTTTAGGAAATTAATGACTGTTTCAAATTCAGTACAGTTCAGTCTAAAATTAACTCTCCATAGGAGCTCCTCTTTAAAAAAAATCATTTTAATTACAATTAATTCTTCGTCAGGTCTGCATGTTATTGGATGCAGTAATGCTGCTTTACTATTGCATTTTTTGTGTTTGTTGTTTTACTATTGCTGTTATTTGGTTTGCAGCAGCAACAAAAACTGCTGCAGCGTAATACAGTCTGTGGTGGTAATTATTGCATGATGTTGTTGATAGTGTTGCATATATGCTTTATAATCGGTGAAACTTTCTTGGAAAAATTTTCTTGTAATAGAAATTGAAAACGAAACTTTTTTTCACTTTTTTATTTTAATATTTTTCTTTCGTATTTTGCTGCGTTGCTCTCTATCAACTGTTATTATTAGTTTTTATTATTTTTGTGAAATAATTTCATTTTCTATATAAATATTTATAAACATATATAGTATAGTGTAAAAATACATATGTTTTTATGTAAAAAAAGAGTTTGCAACCGGCTTGCAGCAGACTCTTTTACATACATACATTTTAATCAAATCAAATTATATTTTTACGATACCTCTTGATATAGTGATACATTGAGGCATGCAGCACACTAGATCATGTATGATTTAAAATACTTTGCAAAGTCCGTTGTTGTTGTTGCTGTTTGTTATTGTGCAGCAGTGGTTTGTTTGTTTGTTTATATGTTTAACATACATTTAATATTTGTGTATGTATCTCTGTCTGTATGCAACCAAGTTAATTGGGCTCATGGCCAAGTGCTTCCCATTGAAAATGAAAACTATATTTTTCTATTTTTTTTTTCTTCTTTTCTTTCTGCATGTGTACATGTGTTTGTGGTGCACATACATAAGTGTTCGTTTGTATCCCATGCATGAGATGATTTTATTATTTTTTCTTATTTTTTGCATTTTTTATTTCACTTTTACTGAAAATTATAAAAAAAGTTTCACTTTTAATAATCCTTTAATAGTTAAATTTCCGTTTTAGCTGGTTTTAAAACTTGTTGTTGTTGTTTTTCTACTATTTTATTTCTATGAATAATACTTATTACGTGCTGTTTTGCAGAAGGAGAAGAAAGAAATTTTAATAATATTAAATAAATATTTTTAGAATGGAGTGGGCAGACAGTTTTTGTTAGAACATTGACCTTTTTAATGTACATGCATATATACAATTCTGAAATAAATATGTAAGGATTTTGTTTTTAAATTAAACAATTTGGTTGTTTTCTTTTCAACAGAAACAAAAGTGGGTGTGTTTTGTAATTTTTAAGAGTAAAATGTTTTGAATCAATCTAGATATTTAAAGGTTGAGTAATTCTAAAAACCTCGATTGCCTTCGAAAAAAAATGTTTATAAAAAAGTAGCATATTTTCGTGAACGACTGACTTCTTTGTTAAATATCCAATACTATCTAGATACTCTTTCGCCAATCTAGATAGTGTTGCCATTCTTATTTATTAATTATAGGCCAAGTCCTTTGTAGATTGTGGCCATGAGGCAAAACATGGTTACAATCTATCATCACCTGAGAATACAGTGTGATGCCCTCTAGTATAAATGCATTTTCAAGTGTCGTGAAAAGCATGCAAGTGTCTCGGATTTTTTAATTTTTTTTTAATCCCCACCTGATTTACACCGATCAAATATGCGCCGCTGCTTCGAATTCTATTTTGTATTGTGCATAGTTATCTTCGTCATTACCTATCGGTAACCCTTTATTCCGATACCCGAAGTTGAAATTGGACTGTTGCCTCAATTCTTATACGAATACAATTGTTTGAAATTTCACTATTCCAGCATAACAATAAATCCCATTTCTTATAAAATTTCTCTAAAAATTAGAAATTCCTTAAAAATATAACTCAAATGAAATGAAGAGGGATACATCATGTTTAATTAGTATATTATTTATACTAAAATGTTTTTAGTATAAATATTTAATCAAAAGCCGCCGATAAAGCTCAATTTTGTTGAGTTTTGTTATCAAAGCTTTATTAAACAAATATATCATCTAAAATTTGTTTTTTTTTTTTCAACATTTGTTCTGAATCAGTTCTTTGGTATTTAATATTTAATTTTTTAGAATAATTTAACTAATTTTATCAATTTTATTTTTCTCTTTTTAGGTAAATATTTTGATCATAGTTTTAATACTAAAAATGTGTAATTCGAACAGCTATAAAAAGGTATGAGTTACTAAAATTTCCAAAATAACAAATTTATACATGTAAATAGCGTTTGTTATGTCATGTTTGTAGAATTCAGTTAATGATTTTATTATTAATAGTTTTTTGATTTATGGCAATTTTTCTTTCAAATATTACATCCCTTATTACAGCATCACTTTCTGGCACATAGTGTAATGGTCATAATTATTAATGTAATTTGAAAAAAAAAAAAAAAAATAGTGGTAGGCAAGCGATTTTAATTTGTTTTCAATATTATTGTATAGAAACTCTTTTGAAAATTCAAAAATTCTTACAAATATTTAAAAATAAAGTCTAAGTTTAATAACCCACCCCCCATATAAGGTCCCCTTCAGAAATGACTTTAACGATCATTACTGGCATACAATAACGAATAATGAGATGAGATTCGATACAGTTTTATGCGAGCCAAAATCTCTCTACCAAATTCTATGTGGATCAGTCCATAATTGACCCTAACCCCTATATAAGGTACCCTCTCTACCAATTTTTTGGAGGATCGGCTTATAAATTACCCTACCCCCATATAAGGTCCTCTTCGAGTATAGCGATGAAATTCGACATAAGTAACATTCTTTCGTGCCAAAACCTCTCTACTAACTCTTATGAGAATCGACATATAAATGAACCTACAGCTCATTATTGGCTTAAAAATACGTGTATAGTGATGAAATTCGACATAAGTAAATTTCTTGCGAATCAAAATCTCGCTAACAGGTTTTATGTGGGTCGGTCCATACTTGACCCTATCCTCCCTTATATTATGTCCCCTTCAGAAAAGTAAATATTTTGTTAATTAAAAAAATATTTTATTAATTCAAAATTGATCGGTCCATAATTAACTTAAGCCACATTCCCTGATGTTTATTGGGGAGCATTTCTTTTACGGCATACGGTTTCTAATTCTATTCATAAATATGACTGAAATTATTGATAGACACTATGGGTCATAGAGCGATTTTGAGATAAAGCGTGAATTCAATTCTCTATATATTAAGCAAGATATTCACCAAAAACAGATTTTTGACCACCAATATCTCGCTTAGCGCAAACTATATTTTCGGTAACTTTTAATCCCTTACTAATTATGCTATGGAGAAGCTATGTGTCAATTTTCATTTAGCTATCTAGCTATCGTCTTTTTAGTCACTTATACAAAAATTTTCTGTAAATCTCGATATAATATTTCATTTCACTTTTATTTTCTTTCCATAAGGATCGAACCAATCACTCATCAAACATGGTTGTTGCAAAATTTAATTTTGTTTTTATGTGTCTTTTTTTCTGCATTTTACCACAAGTTTAACGCCAATTCAATTCACTTTCATTATGAAGCGATGCGTGTTTAAAACACACAGAAAGAAAACCCCATAAATAAAAAAAATAAAAAAAAAAACGACAAATATGCCAACACACACAGATACATACATAAATGCAAACATTACTCACACATAAATTTATGTATAAAATGTGTGAACGTATGTATGTTTTATATCCTACGACAACATAATGTATAATTTCGAATGCAACAACAACAATTTGCAACAAAAAAAAAATCAGCTAAAACACGTTATTACCCATTTATAGTTGAAAAGTAATGTTGGCCAAGTAAGTGGATTTTCTTTATATGTGAGACTGTCGCTCATACGAATAAAAAATAAGAAAAATTGCTTAGAAGAAGCTTTTATTACAAAAAAATGCAACAACTTAACCTAACGAAGTAATTTTTTATTTCAAACATTTTTCTCAACTATTTTTTTTTCATTATTATTTTCATTTTTTTATTAAAAAATGAATGAAAAAGAAAAATGCTGAGCTTATGTTGCATGTTAAAAATACATGTTTTTTCGTTTTCATTTGAAACGCAACAAAAAAATTTAAAAAAAAATATGAAAAAATCTGTTGATGATGTAGGGGCATGTGCAAGTAACAATGATTGTTCAATTGATTACACCATTTCGGAAAATATTTTTTAAGACCTATATTTTTTAGGCCAGATATGTTTTTTAGGTTAAAGCGAAATATTATATTCTAGATGAAATGTACATTTTTATAAACAACCCAGCAAAAACTTACATAGACAAGTAAGGGTTTTTTTTCATTTTAAAACTTTATTTTAATACGGTGATGATATTGGAGGCAAGTACTTAACACGTTCGCTTGCAAATAGAGAGGCGATTACGATCGCATGCAAATAATATCTTAAATAAGTAGTTTTGTTTGTGAGAAAAAAAAATTGCCCATGACGATACCTCCACTGCGTCATATATTAGTTTTCGTTTGTGTAAAAATAAAATTCGAAAACAATATGTCAAGGCTGAAAAGTAAGTACTTACATATTTAATTATTTGTAAGTCATTAGTAGAGTCCTTCTAAGTAATGCAGACGGTATTTTGTAGCCATTGAAAAGTATGTTATTGAGTAAGTATAAGTCATTAAACTGTTTTTGCTGGCAATTTATATAAAAGTTTAATTGTTAGTCACACTTATATTCTGTCAAGATTCAAAAGGACAAGGATCTGACTATGATAAAATTAGATAAAGTTTCATAAAAATACTGCAAAATAAAATTTTGAAATGAAATTCGGTTCACACAAACTTTCTCCAAAATTTCAATATTCGTTACGGTTTAGATTTCTAAAAAGCATGATTTGACAAGTTTTTCGATTTTAATTATATATTTTAAAACGACCCTTACTTAAGTATTTTTTTTTTTGCTTGTGACCCTTCTTTAATGTCAAGTGACCCAACACAAAAAATCGATTTTGTTGTAATTTACATCAAGGTTAGTACTATTGGATAGTAGGCCAGACACCAATTGTCAGCACTATCAGTCAAGAACTGCCGAACTTAATACAATGATGAAATAGGTATCTGAACTCCTTTGCACAGTTTTTGCTAGGACCAATAGATGAAAAGTTACACTCATTTGAATAAAACCCTGTATGACCAAAATGTCCAAATTTGACTCCTTCTAAGTCCGGCAGTTCTTGACATAGCAGATAGAGCTGAAAAATTGTGTCTGGCTTACTATCCAATCGTACTAAACTTTGAGCAAATTTCATTCAAATTGGAAGACATCGATTTTAAAAATTGGGTCACTTGACACGAAATTGCCCATATACTTCATTGAAATGCTATTGACAACCAAAAAAAAAATTCTTACCTCAGCTATGTTAAAATTAGTTTCTAAAGAAATTCAATTTAAATAAACGCCCACATCTAAACTAAATGAAACCACATTTTAGTAAGTAATGTTTAGAAATGAAAAGCGATACAGATCTTATCAATAAGCCGAAATATATGTATGTATGTAGAAATGGTTTAATTTCATATTTAAAATTAAATAGTTGTTGTTATTGCTGTACCAGTATTCGAAGAAAAACTATTAAAAATAATAAATACAAGCAGAAGAAAAAAAATGAAAATGAAAAACGAAAGTTTTTCCACAAACATTTAAATCAAATAACAAACGAGCGAGTGAACCAACGAACACACAAACAAATAAACTCAATGCCCATAAATGCAAATAGAAAGTGCAAGTGCAGTGTCTCACTAGTGCCGTAGACTGGCGGATGGACAGACAGTTCGTGCGTTCGATAGTTAGTAAGTCGGTCAAATGAAAACGAAAAGAGAAAAACAACAAGCCATTATTATAATATCCAGTTAATCAACAGCAGCACCAACAATAACAACAACATCACCACCATCATCAACAACAGCAATAGCAGCAACAACACGATTTGTAACTAGCAACAACAAAACAATAGCAACAACTATACATTCATACGATTACTATTATAAACCAGTTGTGGTTAAAAGTTTTTTTTCTTTTTCATTTTCTGCTTTCTGAAACGATGGTATAACTAACCTATAAATATAGTTTTTCTTTTGAAATGAAAATGAAATGAAAATCTATGCCTTTTTCAACAATTTTCTTCATATTTTTTCGACTTTGTTTGAGTATGATGATGATGGTGATATTGTCATTGTTGTTGTTGCTAACAATAGCAACATGTATATATGTATGTATCTGTGTATTTGCAGTGTATTTCGAAAATATTTCAAACGTTTAGTTAGATAGAGATACACGCAAAGATAATATTTTTTCTTACACATTTAAAGTTTTTTTCTTTTTGTTGTTATTGCATATCTCCTTAAACTACGAAATAAAATTAAGGAGAAATTTATTTGCTTTACAGATTTGTGTATAAAATTGTCAGTAAAAACTTTGAATTGGTGGGTTTCCTCTTTTGCCGAGATTTAATTTAATGGAGATAACCCCAAAAGTAAAGTATTCATATCATTACTTTACTTTTTGGGGTTATCTCCATTAAATTGAATCTCCGGTTTTGAATTATAGACAAACTCAATAATGAATCCAATATACTAAAGGTATCACTCAATAGGTACCCTTCTTGAGATAATAAGTTAATAATAAGATAATAAATCAAATATATCAGCATTAAAAAATATCCTATTTATAAATATAAATATGTTGCTCCAAAAAACAAATATCTCTATTTATTTCAAAAAAGTTCGGTCCATAAATGAATTAACACTCCATAAAACAGACAAAAATTAAATTTTCTCCTCTATCAATTTGGTTTCCTGTCGCACAGGAAAAAACATCATGACGTATGAGTGATAACAATTATTTCATACATTTAATATTAAGTACCCGCAGTTTGACGTCAATAAAAATCATTTGAATGATTACAAATTTTATATAATTTTATTTTATCTGAGCTTTTCTTTATTAGAATTTAAAAAAAAAAAAAAAAAAAACGCACATTGCAATTATTGTTTTAATAAGAAAAAGTGTTTATTTAAATGTGAATACATACTAACTTCTTTCAAAAGGTTATTCGCGTTCTTTAGACTTTTTCAAGTAAAGTTTTATTTCTGCAAATCAGACAATTTTTTCATTTGTTTGTAAAATTTTCGCAATGTCAATGGTAAAGTCGCGCGACTACTGTAGCAATGACATTGAATCTTTAAATTGTATTTTTAATTCTTTTTTTGTTTTTTTTT